AAATTTTAAAGCTGAATAAAAGAATATGGAGCTCTAGCTAACTCACAGCAATTTATAAGTCGCCATTTTAGAGACTCCGTCTACTTCCTTAGCCAACCTCTCCAAATAAACTTCTTGATTATGGAAATTTGACGCCGCTGGAGGTACATATCGACTCTGTGAACGAATAATTGAGATTCTAGACATAAATAAAATAAATATCAAGAAGGGGCACTTGCAAACCCTGAGTTACTCACCATAATTCTTCGAATGATCTCCTGTCCACGGAATAAAGGGCAGTCCTAGAAAGGATCATTGTATCGGTAATTTTCTCGATAATCATTTCAAGCGCTGAGATGACTTAAACCCTTCTAAAAAGGAAATGTTGGACAGACCACATATAAAGCGTTTCGGCAGGCATCTCTCAATTGATTCTGCATCGTCGCCCATTCACGACTGCATACTTCACTATCAGTTGGTCGAACATAAAATCGGCATCTGTTCTCGGGATCTTTGAAATCTAAATAATTGATGAACGAAGGTAAACTTCAAACCTATCCGTATACAGCTAGGTGTGCGAAACGTCACAATCAACTAGCTGATAATATAAATTCATGATAATTTCTACTTGACATTGTCTTATAGCGCCTAGCATCCACATTTATACTCTGTGATTTAAGGTCAACCAAAATTCAGTTCATAAAAACAGACAATCAAATAAGGACAACTATATTCATGGACAACACAAAGGAATCAAATCAATCGACATACCTCTAAACCGCACTTTCTTCTTTTGCAGAGAACGATATTCCAGCTGCTCACGCCATTTGATTCGCTCCTTCACACTCAACGTATTCTGATCAACATCTGTCAGTAACTGAAAAGGCAAATATTATAAAAATCTTACCGTTCCTTCTCCACTGAAGTTCTCTAACTAAGTTTCAGATTTCCTTTTCGCCAAAAATAAAATATCTGAGAATACGCCAATTTTATCCGACAGACCTTTTCTTGCGACCGCATGCAAGACCTCAGCTTCGGTGGAGGAGGAACTGAAACGATATGTGAAACGCAACACAGCTCGAAGCCAATTCACTATCAGTAATTTAGTAAAATCAATAATCTGTCAAGGTTGAATCAGTTTTTCAAAGGCCCTACCTTGGAAGAAGAATATGCAAACAAAACTAAAACAAACTCACTTGTATCCATTCGCTTACGCTCGCCATCTTTTTCAACAGCTCTTCGCTTCGGTACAGAGCCTAATATCGATGGTAATTATAAAACAGTTATGAGTACTGTGGGAACATCACAAAACTTGCCAATCTCTTGAGCTACGTCTAATGGGCGCTTATCTCCTACAGTTTTTGCCTCCTCATCTAGAAAAAGTAACATTTTGGCGTTTCTCTCTCGAATGTTAAGAATATATGGATTGAATCGTACTGGAGTACACTTTGCGAGGCTACTATTTGAGCAATGTATATAATCGTGACGCATCACCCATACATGGGATGTTCCAGTCCAACTGGTCGGCCCCAAACAACACTGGTGGTGCAAGCTGCGGGCACAGAATAAAAATCCATATTGACAGTAATAAGAGAGATAAAATTTCTATGGATGCATACTTATGAGTACCCACAGCTGCATCGTAAGTCTTCGGAATTCCAAACGTTTTTCCTATGAACACTACAACGGCGAAGGGCTTTTCGGAAGGTTCAATCCGTTGATCAGCTTGTGTTTTAGAATACCCCATAAATTCCTTTCTTCTCATGATCATGCCAGACTTTGAACAGTGCATTAAGAGCGCTAAAAAGGTAAATTATTATGGCAACTGTGGTATAAGAGCAGGGCAGACAACAAATGAAGCGGTGGAAGACAGCTGGCAGCGGTAACTGCATAAAATGACTGCCCAAGCCACCATCATTATCAAAGATGAGAAATAAAAGCGGTGGGATGAATATGTTCTTGGATACAAATAGTTCACCAGTGACACCAATACCCAATCCATTACCCATTCTTACTGCCCAAACTAATTGAGGCGATTTATTCCAAAATCTGATAAACACGGCACAAACCTTCGCAGGCCCCAGACAACGACAGGAAAATGATGTCGATCCTCAAAATTCAAAAAAATTCACTTTGAAATTTATGTCTAACCGTAGGAATTTAGAAGTGGAAGTGCCGAATGTTCAAAAAAAGCCACGAGAGCGTCAAGAGACAGTCTCGAGTAAAATAAGATTCAATATTCAAAGAGAACTTCAGTATAAAGCAACGAATCTGGGGGAGAAAAGAAAATTTGTCTTGAGGGTATTATTAACAACCAGCCAGCGTCTTAGCATCACAGCCAAATGGAACCACTTGAATTGGGAGTGATCGAATGCACGCAAGATATCTTTAAAAGAATCAGAAAAAATGTTCAACTTATAATCAAAGCAAACAAAATGATGCAATGCTTAAAACTAAAAACATTGAGACACAAATTAAAAGCATCACAGCGAAAAGTGGAAGACAAACATACCTGGGAAGAGCGTCTCAGACCAATTGTATACTGAAAAAGGGGATCGGACCAAAGAAAACAATGAGAGAGGAATTGAGCCAAAAAACGAAAGTAAAGCCTACCAAAAATGTTCTGGTCGACTACAACTCTAGGCTTTTCATTGTTCTCCAACGGCAAGTTCTCTGAAAAGTAGAAAATTTGATAACCTCTACTGATTGTGGAACAGAACAGTTTACCTTCAAGCAATTCATCATCACCTCCATCGTCACTTGTTAGCCATGGCAAATCAATAGCTTGTACATCACCACTGAACATTTACACGACTTCGAAACCGTATATTACAAATCTCTGATGATCTATCCTAATCCTATGAAATTACCAAAGAGAGCCTACTAAAAGGACAAATTTCACCTCAAATCCTCGGCAGCGATTCGAGGCGGACTGGGCATTCTTTCACGGCTCGACTGGGTGGAACGAATATTGAATAAAACTAGCTTTTCCTTTATCATGTCTGCTACTGAAAATTAGGAATCTAAAGGATATTGAAATGGGCTGAGTTCTGGTTGGCATCTCCAATCTTTCTTGGTATCATCACAATCAATCTGGAAAACCTTGACCAAATCAGCATCTACATCCATTAAATGCGATTAATTGAGAATCACAGGTTTTTTTTTCGGAGCATCAACGGAGAAGCTGGGAATCTGTACAGGAACTGAACTTACGCTGATCTGCACTTAGTCGAATTTGAAGTTTCTCCAAACGAGAGATTAACTGATGCTCGTATTCAGTCGAAAGCTCCACAGTTCTCGCATCATCATCTTCCTCCATCAGTAAATCATCATCGGAGCTCTCTTCTCCGCAACGAATTCTCTCCAAACGGTCTTCCCTTGCTCTGTAATAGCATAAAATATAAGATGAACTATGGAAAGGGTAAGCTTTAAGGATTTTAATGCAACCAGCCATTGACAGACATTTTGCACGCCCAAGAGAAAGTAGGGGATCTGCCACTCGGCTGTGCCGACCAGTCCTCACCGCCAGAATGTTTTGGAAACACAGAAACTCACTGCCTCCGTGCCATATCGAGGCGACGTTTCATTGCAACCAACTCCTTGTCTCTCATTTCCGTCTGCTCGAAAACTAACTTACTCTTCGCCATGGCATGGAAATTTGCGAATTGGGATTCTGCAACCAGACGTGGATACAAACATGCGTAGGAAAGGAAAAGATGAAGAGCTTGGAAAGCACAAATGTTACCATATTCGCATCAACGCAATATTTGGAGAAATATTAACATCAAATGATGAGTAGACTAGGTAAAGGATACTACCATGCTATAACTAAAAAACTCAACCTCTTATGGCATCTTTCTCACAACCCAAAGCAGTAGGAAAAATATCAATACAAATAAAAATAGATGACAAGAGATCAACGACTCGAAGAATGAGTGATTGCATGAGTTATTCCAGATAGGTCAATCAATACTAGAACCTCATCACCAAAAAACTTACTGTAATTGTCCGGCTCCAAATTATTCATTCGTAGAATAACCCTGGTTATGAATAGGGAATTGTCGATAAGGAACTGTTGCTCTTCTTCCTCTTCTTTGCTTAACTTCCTCACTGAACCATCAGCATTTGGACCGTAACGCATGCGAAAACGCTCTTCAATGAACGCCCGCACCGTATCTAGACCTGAAATAGTTTACCGGTAATTATGCATTATGGCCAACTCTTGAATGGGGAACCCCGGGATTCTAGTGTCATTGGAAACTTCAACCAATAGGATTTGGAAAATAAAAAACCCAAAGACTAAACAGCAAATGTCTCAGGAAATCACATCCTGGGCTCCTCTAGAACACTGCTCATATGAAGAGTCACGCGGTTCGACAGATAGACATACAGGGGTAGCAGGGGGAGTGCCTGTTCTTACCATTCCCACTCTCTCTTTCCCCCTTCCTCAAGTCTGAAGTGTGATCCACTCTACCAGAACCGAAATATGGACATAGCCACTACCAGGCTATAACACTTCAAGAATATCGGCTTCCAAAATGTCTAAACCGCCTTACCTTAAGGCTTTTTATATTTATTCTAAAAAACGCATCACCCATTAGGTATAGAGTGCCTGCCGATTGATTTACCAACTTGGTACCAGACAAATGAACAAAATCCGCGTATACGAAAATAAGGAAAATTCCTGACAAAGAAATTTCGCTCCTCGCTACTTTTGACAAACCCTCAATGCAAAAGAAATTACTTAATAAGATACGAACATAGGAAATCTCGAGAAAAGATCACAAGTATACTTAATAAGGAAACTGGAACATACTTTCGTCGTCGTCGAAAACGATATCCTCCGCATTCTCCACATGCTCCATTATAACTTCTCTTTTCCTGTATAGTAAATTTGCCAGCTCTTCCTGTCCATCTTTCATAAGCAGATAACGTTCTCTTCCCATAGCATCCAGCACATTTCCTTCTGCAGGTAAGAATTCTGAGGTAATCGAAATAAAAAGGCCACTATCGATTAATACAAAACCTCACTTCGTTTTGGTGGATCTTTCTGCACGTCTTTGATAACGTCAGGCTTCCAAACGAAATCCTCTTCAGATTTGAGAGGTATGAGCCTCTCTTTGATTACAGTGGGCAAAACAGGTGGACTAGAATCAGTCTCCATTGGTTGCTGTCCTTCGTCTTTCACTTCCACGATGCTTGCTTCTGGCACTGCCGAATCATTCACAAATAGCTTTTCTTCAGCAGACTCGTCCTCTTCCGTATCCGAATCATCTTCTGGGAAGACTAAAAAAGTTGGTTGCAACTTTCTGCGGAAAAAAAGAAACTTCACAGAAAAATTCATAGAGAAGTGCTTTGTAGACTCATTTCTTCTGACAGAAATTTTTAATGTGATATAAAATTGATAGAAACCCACTCTCGGAGAACAGATCAGCCATCTTCGTTTGGAGTCGACTTGCAGAATGGGAATAGTTTAACTGAAACAAAAAGTTCATCGGAAAATCCTAGTCGTGGTGCCTCACATGACATGAAGAAAAATCGAGGATCAGATATAAGAAGCATAAAATTCAGGAATTGCAATGAAACCGGGAAGGTAAAGGAGAAAGGGAAAGACAAGTGGCACCAGTGATGGTCAAGCGGAGGATTTCCTCAATTAATTCATTACTAAGAGTTTCACTCTGATATTCGCTGTCAGTTTATTGCTCACAGAAATCCTTATTATTTCCAACAGAAGCTAGACTGTAGCTATCGAAAGCCGAGTAGGCCCACGAGGTTACAGCCGTTTTTACCCTACTGCGATTTCCAGGTCGTCCACTTCAACAATAAGTATGTCCCACGCTTATTTGGATCGAGTGCTGCATGCCTTTGTCGCGACATTTCTGAGGTTGTAGGAGGGTGGAAATCAAGGTTTTTCCGTTGTGGGACTCAACAGCACCACTGCTGTGGACAATAGAAAAATTATAGTAAGTTCTACAAAATGAGAAACTTCGTCGATTCCAATGAAACCCTATATAGTCAGCAAAAATGACAGTAAAAAGAAGGGAACTACCATCTGTATAATTAACCGTCATGTGATACGTTTGGCAAAACAAACAACAAAAAATCAGGAATGTTCAGAGCTTTTACAGTAATGCGACCAAGAGTCCTGACTCGAACGCCTGGGTTGTCGTGGAATAAAAAATGTCTCCCGCGACACCTTCCCGTCTACTGCATTCTATTTCACGACAAAATTACTGTAAAAAGGTACCTCTGCAGGATTTTGGTTCCTGTATCTGCTATATCCACTATATGACATCTGGGACTACTCGAAATTTATTTGCCTCGCGTTACGTAAAAGGTCCATCGAGGCTTCACTTGAAAAGCAGTGGGTTTCTAATGGTTCCTGTACTGTGTTTGGTAAGTGACTATGCAGTAATAGTACTGATGTAGGATAATAGTTTAGATAACAGGAAACACTGCGAAAATTCATAAGTGACGAAGGGGGTCTCATGTTGCAGGACTAAAATACGCATTTCTAGTTACACAAGTCCCACCTCCAATGCGAGTTCCGCTCCTGACGTCCTACAGTTAAAAATAAAAACAAATAGAATCTTCGTTCTCATGGGGTAATTACACAATAGACCCTGTAATGTAGAAACAAAAGAAACAAAAAATACGAGTGCAGGAACTGCTGTGTTGGATCAAAGAAAGTTTGAAGTTAAAGAATGTGATTTCTTCCATGATGATTTCTTACAAGAAAAGCCTAGTTTTCCTATTACAGGTTCCCTATACCGTCACATCACCAACTCAGTTAATGCAACTTTCCCCAGTAGATTTACTCCATGGGCGCTTTCGAAGACTCTCAATGCATGACTTTCGTACCGTTCCTCGACCGAGCTCAAGCAGAGGACGCGATCCACTTAAAGGCACAGTTCACGATTATTCAATGGGCGGGGACGTCAATGGCCTTCCCGTCTCTCCATCGATGTCAAGTCAGACGTCAGAGACGAGTGTCGAGACAACACAGATTGCAAATTTTCGTTCTAGGACCCACACACAATCAGCTGTCGCTGAGTGATGAAGCGATATTTTTCTCCCATTCTTTTTCCTCTGCTATTCTTCTTGCTGCCGCGACCCCTTATTTAATTTCCTACTCCTAGAGGCTGAAAAATGTGAGCTACTTTTGCTGTTATTAGGGTATTTTGTTTACTCATGCCTATAAGTGAATGAATTTTCGCTTACCATTGTCTTTTATTCGCACCAGGACCCACACGTACGCAGTGAGACACATTGTATAGCTCGTCCGAACGCCCCACTCTTCTTCATTTTTCTGAACTAATGCTCGTCCAGCCCCCTGTTTAACGGTTATTCGAAGCCTTTTTTTCAGTTTGGAAACACCGATTCACGCAGTTTCTCCACCTTCATCGCACTATTTTCGATCTTGTCGTCCATTTTTCATCATAATCTGGAGTGCCCAATTAACGTAAACGTGTGCCTTTAAAATGGACTGGAGAATTAACCAAGTAATCGGGTTTCCTTCACAACAAGTAGGGTTACTGTACCCATATCGCTGGGGCGAAGAAGGACAACGAAGGAAAGAAGGGGGAAGGGGAACTGCACATCAAAATGCAGCCAAGATATTAATAGTTAGATGACACTGATAGAACGAAAAAAGAACAGTCTATCTAAATTTTTATGCAAATCGACGTATAAATAATATCTATGCACACGAATCACCGGAATCAATGCTTCTAAACAAAAATAATGCTTTCAACAAATCAGAAAAAGCCCTACGGAAACAGTCAAGTGAAAACAATCGTATCACAGCTATGAAAAATGAGTCATCGAAAGAAAGCGATAAATAAATGACAGGGCTTAAGTATAAACGAATACGCGACTGGTTTTCGGTAAGCAATGGTATTAAGAAATTGCCATACACATCGATCACGACAACATCTTTTATACAAACAAGTTACTCTAAAATATGGTTACCTTAGAAGGAGCTTAGAAATTATTTGTATGGGTTTCTACTAGAAAACATTGTGTATAAACATTGGGAATATATTCGTGTGCTTTCAAAACATCTACAAAGTTTCTGGGCAAAGTTGGTAGCACTCATTCAACCCCTATCAATTGAAACTATTATATTATGCATATAATAATTTGGGTAATACAACTTCAAGCGCAGACTATCAGCTAGAATCGAGCTCTTCTGTTAACCGACAAATATCACCAGAGATGTATCTGAAATGAATGAAATTAAGTAACATCGAAAAATTAAAGATACAGGCCAACCTACCGTATTCTTTCCTCTATCTTCTCTCTCCGCTTTCTCTCTTTTTCCTCTTTCTCTTCTCTTGCACGACGCAAAGCCATTCGAAGTCTAATTGTATCGCGTTCACGATCATCCGGCGCTTTTCCATCTAACTTCACCTGCAAGCACGTCGTATACATATCGACGTAGAACAGCTTACTCCCCCAAATCAAATCCCGCAGTTCATGTCAGTCTTTGAGTAATTTAAGATTTACTCAGGCGGGAATGGTGCATTACCAAGAGGCGCGCTATTACATAGACGTGGTCTAGAGATCGAGTCCTAGACAAACCAAGCCCTCCATTCTTCCGGGGGCTTTAATTGGTAACAGACTCGTTTGGGATGGCAAAAGCACTGACTGTACATCGTAAGCCACCGCACGGCATTGTGAAGGCTAAATGAGCATTCAAAACTTCACCACGATTCTGAATGGAAGTCGGATGCGGGACGCACTCCGGAAACGAGACCAACCAACTCCGAAAGACTTTAACTCATAATCTTTTTATTGGAGAAGCAAAGAGCATGAGCTGACTATATGTAGTCGAAGGGAAGGGAGAGGAGGTAGAGCAACACCTGAGGCTCATAGTTTGAAAAGCATACAGTGCGTAACAAAAGTATGTGGACACCTCACTATTTTGGCTTATCGAGCTTGCTAGTTGATTTTGAGCTGAAACACCACTATTATAGAAGTATTCGGGTGGCAAAACCCTGGAATAATTGTTCTTCCGAAAATTTCAGAGAGCTTTTACTTTTTTTTATTTTAGAAAAAAGTCTTCTTTGTAACAAAAGTATGTGGACACTGTACAAAAAAAAGAATATGAATGAGATCAGTAATTAATTGGTCCTCCTGAGTGCCGAATCAGCTCGAACATCCTATTGGACATGCTCTGAACCAAATTTGTGATGGTCGTGTCGTCAATGGACTCCCCCACAGTCAGGATCGCCGCCTTCAGTTCTTTGACGGAGTTGTACTGGCGGTTGTTGAGATTGACTCGCCGAGCCATGATTCCCCATAGGTTTTCGATGGGATTGCAATCAGGAGAACAGGCTGGCCAATCCATCACAGCAACACCGTGGCGTTGGAGCCATTCCTTCGTAGACCGTGAGGCATGGACAGATGCATTATCATGCTGGAACACATGTGTCCTGCGTCGTGCACCCCTGAGAAAGGGCAAGAGGTGGAACTCAAGCACTTCCTGATATTCCTGACTATCCATCCGGCATGAAGGAAATGCCAGCTCCAATTTGCCGCTGCTTTCGAAGCCACCCCAAACCATTAATGTGGGTTAATGTGGCTCCTCCAAAGTTTCGCTTCGAATGGATTAGCGGGTCGTGACGAAGATCTCTCCAGTAGTAACGGTATCCATCTGGACCGTCCAGGTTGAACTTTTTTTCATCACTGAAGATGACCTAAACGGANACTATTCGAGCTGAGCGATAAGCACCGGGATTTTGAATGTAGTTTCCAATGCATGTAGGAGAGCGTCCGAGCTGACGTGCGATTTTTCTATTCGAGTGCCCGGCTTCATGAAGAGCCCTGATTTGCGCTTGTTCTTCTTCAGAGAATAGCTTTCCACGTACAGGCATGACAACATAACGGTTATTTCAAAAATGACCGGAAACGCTACAGGATTTTCGCGCCAAAGTCGGATCTAACTCGGGTGTCCAAATACTTTTGTTACAAAGAAGACTTTTCCCTCAAATTAAAACAAAGTAAGAGCTACTTGAAAATTTCAAAAGAACCAGTAATCCTAGGTTTTCTCATAGCAAGATTCGAACAGTATAAGTTTTCAGTTGCGTGATGTTCTCTGAGGTCTCGAATTTCTGTAATGTAGTTGATACGTTTGATCGGGTAATCATAAATTGCTTCGATCGTTCCAGGCTCTGAAGAAGGCGATCTACGCCGAAACGTTAGCCGGAATAAAATTTTTATCAACCTCGTCCAAGTTCAAGCAAAGAAAACAACGATTGCTCTATGCCGAGGTTTAGAGATAGCCGTACATGGCGAGTATAAGCTTTATTGCTCAAAATTCGCTGTCTAGCCCGATGAACCAAAATATTGGGGTGTCCACATACTTTTGTTACGCACTGTAGAACGCTACTGGTAATTTTAACAAAGCAGAGACATTCCATACTGAAAAGATAGACAAAAAGCCAAGCTAAACAGGATCTCTTTCATAAACTGAAGAATGTATCGGTATTATCATTCATTCCATCACGACCAAATAGACTCAGGTCATGACAACTCGTTGAAAACACGGTTAGCATGAAATACTAAAAATTTGAGGTGCAAAACAAAACGTACCTCCCAACTTCTCTCTCCGAATCCCTCTAGTAGACGTGTTCGGTATTCGACAATCTTTCGAATCGGATTTCCTTTCAGATGTAGAGCTTCCAAACATGGTAATGATCCCAACGGATAAACTGAATCCAATGTCTCGATAGCATTGTACCGTAAATCTAGGTACTCCAACGAGTACATTCGTGAAAGACCTGAATGAGTCACTTTATAACGTACGAAGGGCAGATTATACTAAAATAACAGCTACCGATCAGCTAAGCACACAAGGACTCAGTTGGGTGCAGCAGGCCACCCAGTTATCTATCGACCAAGAGGGGCTGCACCGTAAGGGGAAAAAGAAAAAAAAAAGAAAATGTGTTCAGCGTCGATGTAAAAATAACTTTCACCAACTCTGACAAAACCCCCTTTCCAAACGCTTTTGTTTTTGTCAAAAACAGCGTTTTTAGTAGTTCTTGTAGAGTAGTCTTGTGAGTATTGATTTATTATTTTTAACTACAGATCATTACGCGACAGATTGTCAGGACCTTTGCAGGCTTGGCGCTTCTTTAGGAGGCAGAATGAAAGGGGGATTGAGTATTCTCAGGAGGCTCTCAATTCAAGAAACCCTCAGTGACATAATCATTCATCATCAAATTTTTCAACGAACTGACCTGAGGCATCCTTAATGGCATTATTTGCAAGTATCAGCCTTTTCAAATTTCCCAATAACTGATTCCAATGTTGTACTGACGTTATACCGTTCCTAGAATTAATAATTAAACATAAGGAGATCACTTTTTCACATCGGGCTTCGAATTTTTGCAAATTTTGTAGAATTTACCTACAAACATTTTGGCGGTCAACTTGGTGAAAATTGAAGTTGCAAGCTCCCTTACAGAGTTGAGCTCGCAATTTTTCGAATTTTCTGAGGAAAAGTCACGCAATCTATTTCTATTCGAATCGAATCGTAAAATCGGAGGGCGTAGCAAATTATTACAATGCTTGCACGAGCTAAGCAAGTCAGCCTATATCACCGTTAGTATGCTCCCCAAAAAATTCGATGTGGTTGTTCACGGCTTGAATGGTGCCCGAAATTTCCAATCCAGGATTTGCTCATAATACCGTATTAGCCCCCGATCTGAACATCAGACAGTTGAAAACTTGTTAGCTTCAAATGCCAAACCTGAGTTGATCAGCCAGGTTTGATTTTCGAAACTAATGGGCAGCAGAGCTTTGGTTGAGGATAAAAAACACCCAATACAATTCGTTTGGATACCAAGCGCTTACAGACAGTAAATACCAATGGGAAACAATCTAAAGGGGCAAATACCAAATTTAGATTACCAATTTCTTTGTTTTAATTTCAGGAAGAGAAGTGAAAAGGTAAGAAGAAGGAAGACTATGAAAGGAGGAGAAAAGCATGAAATCAAGGGATGGTTGCATCTCGTCTCTAAGCGCCGTCATCTATGCATCAGAACACATTATGCTCATTTCTCAGCGCGATCGTTCTGCTGATAAACCGATATTTTCCTTTGCGACGTTGGAAAATCGTCAACATTTTTTTGACGAACCTCTTCACTATTCACAATGCTTCATTGGCAATAGTAGTGAGTTTGAAACACACATTTCGCGTATCTTCGCATGAAGTGTGATCAATGAAACGTTCCGCTCAGCCTTGGATGGTAAATGAACTCTACCCGACTTTCCCTTGTTACGTTTTAAAAAGCGCCCTGCTTGGAAATGAGAGTTCTGACAGAGTTTTCAATATTTTTTTTGAGAGAATCGGACCCTGCCTTCTGAAGAGTTCTCAAACTTATTGGCATTAACGATTATGAAAAGGCAAAGGATGTCTTTCACTAAAGATTTCACTAGAAAAAAAGTATACGGGCAAGCAATGAATGGAAATCTTTTGCGCACTATATCCCACCAGCTTACTGAGTCCATAGCCCATAAAAAATGCCCTATTTTATGAAAATGATGAAAAAGGTTTGAGAATACAAAAAACAGATCAGGAGAAAATGTATAAAAATGACTGATTAAACTCACGATGACAAGTCCAGTTCCGTAAGACAAGTAAGATGTTGCAAATATCCACCGATTTCCGTAACACTATTATGGCTAATGTTCAATTTCTGTACACCACCGAGTAAACGCTAAATATCGCAGAAATATTCACTTTTCATTTTCATTACAAACCAAAAAAAATAAAACAAAAATCATCAGATTTGCAGAATAAAACCTACGACGCTTTCGTCGATTCTCTTGAGATCATTGAACGAAAAATCAACTTCTTCTAAACACTGCCAATGCTCTTGCTCAGTTATCGGTAACACTTGTTCCTTGTCCAATAGAAGATCCTAAAAACCACTGTAGCCCTCACAACTACCATTTAATCATTAGTAAATGCCAACTTAAAAGAGAAGATAACACCCAGACGTCAATCATCATTTCCTTGGAAAACCACAGTACTCTATGAACATAGTTCAGCTCGAACAAATACCTTCCTCATAGTATTTGATGACTCTACTTTCAAAATTAGTATAGTATCAAGTTAACAATCTGAGGGGCATAAGGAACTTAACTGATCGGTGCGAGATTTGATTCGTATTTTCAACTGTTGGTATCCGTTCAGCCACTTCTAATCCAGAAAAATTATTATTGAACAAAAGTCTAAGCGCCCTATCATCAAAAATTTTCCAGGGATTCTTCGAGTTGTGATTGTTCAAGTCGAACACAATAAAATCGATTGAAACCGCTCATCGTTCCTTTCGATCCCCAGTTTACAATCCGCCTTCTCTCCATTCCCTACTCTTCCGACAACTTCTCATTAATTCGATTGAAACTGACCTCGAGATTATTCATAGAATAATGAACGACCAGCCGCCGGAGGGTCCGTTTTATCGTATTCAATCCGTGTACCTTGGCTGCATCCGAATCCGTTATCTGGAAATGACTTTTCCAGGTTTTCCATAACTAACCTTTATGATACACATCGGTAGGATCGCTTCTCCTAACTCACCCAGAGAGCCAACAGATTTTTGCAAAAGTGTAGACTGTATGTGAGTGAGTTCCATACGATATTCGACGTTCCCACATAGCCCTTGGCTCCACGAACTTTCAACGCCCGAACACGATGTAAGAAGTCGACGGTGTTGCCAAGATCGGCAACCATTCGCGGATCTAAAGCAGTACATACAGCAGTGTTCGGGAATAATTTGTAAGCTCTGCATAATGAAGAAATGGCTATCCGGCTTCAAAGACTATGCATGACTGAGTGTAGTGTAATGTAGCAGCCAATACTGGACATGCAGACTACTCGTAAATTTGAATGGGTGTGCAACAAATCGTGCAAGAAGTAGTAGATGCTTCATAAGATCAAAGTGTTAACCCGCATCATTGACAAAGAAGCCAACCATTCTAGTTACATCCTAAGACTGTTAGCGAAATTCCCTATGACGAAGATCAGCATATGAATCCAGCGCCAGCGCAATCAATAAGCATAGTATGAACGGGCAGCCCGATAGGTTTTGTAGAACCTTGAATACCACCACGTTTATCAATGGCGGGAGACCAAACCTTTCACAGATCAGTCAAAACAGACCCCGTATCGATTCGAAGTCATCGCTTAATTTGAAC